CCTGGGGATTTTCGCATCTCCAAGGAACCCTTTTTCGGCCAGTGACTCAACACCAGGTTTGCCTCGTTAATACTCGATGCCCCCCAGGACCCCTTTTGAGTGGGGCATGCTCTGCCCCCCGGCCGAAGCCCGGCAAGATGAGGTCCACCGCGCTCGGAATCGGGATGTCCGGAACCGCCTCGCCGAGGCGCACAATAGTCCTCAGTCTGGCGAAGGCCAATTCTGTCATCCTGGGCCGCCGCTGACATCTCTCTCTCGACCGGTACCTCGCTTGGGCGGTACCGGGCAAATGCCGGTACCGGCGCTAAAATCTGCGGTACCGGCGAGCGGTACCTTGTCTTGTTTAGGGGGTCAGAGGGGGGGAAGGGGCGCGAAGCGTGAACATGGAGGCAAGCAGGTTGGTTTCTGCACCTGGCCAAAGCCGGCGACCTCGAAGTTGTCGTAGCTTGTGCGGATATCGCTGAGCGTGAGAGGGACCGGATCGGCAGCAGCATGGGCGGCCGCGTCAGCGGCCGGAGAGGCCGGAGAGCCATCCGACGGAGGCCGGTCGTGCATCGGCGCGTCAGCCGCAGGGGCCGGGGGGGCGGCGGCATCCATCGCTGCGGGTCGCTGCGGGCCGACGATTGTGGACTGATCGATCGTGGCGGGCGGATTTCGGCTGGGACGTTCTACGGTTAAACCAAGAGCGTCGGCGCGGACACGAGAGACTTATAAGGGTAGAAGTGAACGTTAGTGAGGCCCCTGGCCCCCCTATAGTTTTTTTCTGTTTTTCAAAACGCCCGCCCGCCCGCCACCCTCGAGGCGGGCGGCTCGGCGGCCGCCCCCCCACTGTGCACTGACCCAGAGATCAAAAACGCTCCTGGGACATTTTCGACGCTTTTGTCCCATGTACTCGTGCAACATGCCTCTCGTCGTCCCTCGAGATAGGTGAGCACCCATGAGCTCGAAGAAGACCAAAAAACGATTCCACGAGCAGCCTAAAACATAGCTCATAGGCGCGGGGCGACACGTGCAGACTCTTTGTACACACGCCAGTCTCCTCGCTCCCGCAGGACGGGTGCTGCTGCCCCGCTGGCCTGACATGGTGTGTGTGTGTGTGTGTGTGTGTGTGTGTGTGTGTGTGTGTGTGTGTGTGTGTGCAGTGTGGAGCCTCTTTTTCTTACTTTAAGCTCAAAAGTAATCTCGCCGCAGCAGGTGGCCGGCGCGGGGGCTTGTTGGCGAGCCAATTGTGGTGTTTTCGGACCGTCGCTGCCGGTCCCGTCTAGATAAGTAAGAGTCGAGCGCGCCGGATGGCGGTGTGGAGCACTTGGAGCACTTGGAGTGCGATTATCAGCCGCACGCCCAGGACCGGGGAGCTATGAAGCGCACCCAGTTTCGACACCCAGTTGGCCGGACGATTGGGATCGGGCAACATTTTTAGCCCCCCGCTACCCGGTTGCACTCGTGCGACGTAGCGGGGGGCCACGACTACGTTTACGAAAACATAAGTAGTCCCGCGAGGTGTGAATTGGCCGCCCCAGTAGCCCCCATTTCCACTGGAAGCGCTTTTCGTGGCAAACCCAAAGTTGCGCTGCGCGCGAAGCCGCTTTTGAAAGCGCGAAACGAATCTCGTCCTACCTCCCACCGGCCGCACCGGCTTTTCGTCGCCCAGCTACTGGGGCGGCCAATTCACACCTCGCGGGACTACTTATGTTTTCGTAAACGTAGTCGTGGCCCCCCGCTACGTCGCACGCGAGTGCAACCGGGTAGCGGGGGGCTAAAAAGAGGCAGAAGGTGTGCGAGACAGTAGCAGGTAACAGCTGTGTCCACACGGGCGTCAGGTATTTCCTCGGTGTTTTGGCCAGTTCAGAGAGTTCTCTCTCTTTTCCAGATTCAGAGAGACTACTAGATCAGGCAGGCCGATCAGCCGCGCGAAGCAAGCGTAGTAGCTAGTACGGCTCTACGTATGTTGCCGATTGCCGTGTCGCGCTTAGAGCCGTACACGGAGCTCACACCCATGCTCACCCCATGCTCCGCGCTTACCCCATGCTCCGTGGTCCGTGATCCGTGTAGTGCGCGGTCACGAGGACTCCACCGTAGGCCCCTGCTCCACCGTAGGCTCCTGCTCCTCCTCGCTGTCGCTCGTCTCAACCTTGACCTTCCGCTTCACCTCCGGAGGAGTCGCGTCTCCTCCGGCGTCCAGGCGCTGCTCCGCCCGGCTTGCAAGCCCCTCGATCGGCAGATCGCACGCGGCGGGGAGACCCTCCTTGACGTCGACGGTCGACTGCTTGATCGCGCGCCGAAGGAAGTCCGGCTCCGGCTCGGCGGTGTTGCTGCCCGAAGCGGCGAGCTTCCGCAGGTTGGCCGGCTCGAGCACCTGGAGGATGGCGGTGGTGGCGGGTGTGGTGGCGGCAGTGGGTGGCGGGCGGTGGCTGGGGTGGTGGCGCTGGATGTGGGGGATGGCGAGCGGTGGACTGGGCACCTCGGCGAGCAAGCGCTCAAAGTTGTGCTTGGTCACGACCTCGACGGCGCCGGGGCTGACGGTGTCCCGGATCTTGTCGCCGTCGGACGTGATGCAGCACTCGACGTGAAGGAGGGAGGGCGCCGCCTTCGCAGGCGCTGGGAGCACCTTTGCGACGGACACGATCCCCGCGGGCCAGCGCACCAGCACGCGGTCCTTGGGCTCGGCGACGGCGCCCAGCAGCGCCGAGGCATACTGCTGCTGCACGGTCAGCTTGCGCCGCTTGGCATCGCGGTCCTCGAACTCGGCCACACGCTTCTTGAGCTCTTGCGCGTGTGTTTCGACCGCGGCGTTACGCTCGGCGCGAAGCCGGTCCGCCTCGGCCGCGAGCGTGGCGTGCTGAGCCCGCAGGTCGTCATTCGCAATCGCAAGGCGGTTCTTCTCCTCGAGGAGACCGCTCAGCCACGCCAACGGGTCAACTGGCGCCTGGACCGCCGGTACGTGGTCCGCTGCGGCCTCCGCAGCAGGCATGGTAGCCATGTGTTGTGGCGGACTGGCGGACACAGATTTTGTGTTGAAGCCAATCAACCGCCAAGGGTGGAGAGTTGCTTTTCCCTCACTAGGGATCCTCGTCGAAGGCTCCCCGCTCCTTCGCGGCCTGCTGCGTCCGCACCACCTCCATCGCGTTCGCCGTCTGCGCCTTGAGCTTCGCCACCTTCGCCTTCCTCTCCCGCTCCGCCGCCGCCTCCCGGTCCTCGCGGCGGTCCGCCAGGGGGTCGTCGCCGCCGTCGTCAGCCACGATCATGGCCGTGACGGCCTCGCCCGCCATATCGTTCTCGCCGGTCGATCGCGCGTCCCAAAAGTCGCCAAAAGTCGCCAAAAGCGGCGGCGAGTCGCAATCACCCGCCCGCCGTCCCGGCGGTCCCGCAGCTCGCGCGAATCTCCCTCTTAACCCACACTTAACATCTATATAAGGGATCCCTAGTGTGGGACCTTCGGCGTGTGGCCTTTTCTCCTGGCTGTTTTCCTCAAGTAAGCGGGTAACTCACTGATCCTCCACCGGATCCGACTGTCGACAGTGCTGGCAAACCGCATCGCGCAGCCGCACGGAGTGAGTCTCCGTCCGACAGCCATCCCATTGCTGCGAGCCATCCGGCTCATGCGAAGCGGCCTACTCCTTGATTGCGAGGCACAGCCAATGGTCATAGTAGTTATCCCCTCGCACGCTGCTGAAGAAGCCAGTGGTCCGCCAATAGTCAGAATCTCGCAGCGCCTCATCGACGGCCTTGAGCACCTACCTGCTCATCGAGCCGCCGAATCCGCGTGCGTTCCTCATAATAGCTTGTCTAACTTTGAGCTTTGCCACATCACGCCGCCGCTGCGACCGCTCGCGCTCCCTCTCCATTCGCTCCTTGGCGGCCTTGACTGCCTGCGGCCCTACATGTACATGCACATGCACCATGGGGAAGCCGCGTGGTGATGGTGGGTGGGGCGGGGAGGGATGGGAGGCAAAGCCACCCCCGGCATGCCTGCTTCAGGAACCGTCTGGCTGGAGGTGGCACCGGCAGCTCCAGCAGCGGCGCTCTGTGTAGTCGCCGAACCAATGCTCGCACTTGTCGTCATCGCCGTGATCGCTCGCGCATCCCTCTTGCGCTCGGCGTCTTCGCTCTTGGTCCGCCTCGACATCTTGCTCAAGAGGCCTGCTGGTTGCCACCTTCTGGCGGCGGCTTTGGCCTCTTGAGCCGTGACGGGCCAGCGTGCACACGGCCGCTATGTGTCACGGCAGGTGTCGCTGCGGCCTTGCGCTGGCGCTTCAAGGAGGCAGATGACTCATTCTCCGCCGCCCGCAGCAGCCGCGCATGCTGCTGCTTTCGATCGCCCCAGTGGTCCCGCCGGCTGCTCCCGCTGTCGGGGAGCCGGCGTTGCTTCCATTTGGCGAGCCAGCGATTCTGCCCGGCATGCCATTTTTTGTCGGTCTCGTAGTTGACCGAGCTTTGGGGGTGTCCCGCCTCCACGGCCGCTCGAATCTCGTCCGGGTTGCTTCAGCCGTCGCTTGGCCATTGGGCGGAGCTGGTGGTGCAAACGACCGAATCGGTGGGACGGTCGGAAACTGGTGGCGGTGGGACTTATAGGGTTAGAAACCTAACACTAAGATCTAAGTAACTAAGCTATGCCCTGTTCGCAGGTTTTTTCTTTCTTCTTCTGCGCGCCAGTCCCGTGCCCAGTGTTGTGCGAGGGAGTTTGGTTGTAAAATTCTTCTTCTTCTTTCTGATATTTGGGCCGAAATCAGCGTCGCCGGCAACGTCCTGGTGCTCGTCTACTCCGTCAGTATGGACACGCTTCCGGATATCCCCAAGATGAGCACAGGGCCTCCGATTGAAGGCGGGTTCGCTCCCCTGCCACCCTTCCCTTCTCTGTTTGGTCGCACATGCTCGCTATTTTCTGCGATTGCTGTCCATGCGCTGGCGATTGCGCTGTGTGTCCTAATGTGGGTGACACTCACGCAGCATCTGTCACCAGACAAGTCGGTTTGGGCTTGGCGTACATTTCCCTTGCACCCCATTCTGATGGTCCTGGCGTTCGGCCTTATCGCGCCCATCGCGGCGGCGGGCTGGGCAACGTATGAACGGCATTTCGACATGCCGCATTGGGCTGTCAAGGCTTTTCATGGGACGCTGATGCTGACCGCCACAGTTACCGGCACGGTCGGAGTGGTCGACATGTGGCTGGTCCACGAGGACTCAGCCCAAGCCCAGCACGACAATGGCTATTCCGTCCACTTCCAGTCGGCACATTCCTGGGTGGGCATCGCCGCCCTGTCATTGTTTATCTTGCAGGCGACAGGTGGAATTGCAGCCTTTGCGATGCCAAGGGGTGAGAAGGTGAATGATAAGTTTCTCGCTCCTCAAGCCTAAAGTTCCTGGCATCTCGCCGCCCGGACACGCCCACTCCGAGGTCCAAGCGCAATGTCCGCACTGCTCGTCGAGAATCGCTACTCGAGAAGACGGCTCCTTGTCCCAGAAGCTGAAGAGGCTCCCTTCCCCAGAGCTGAAGAATCGGAAAGCAGGCGCCCCCCTTTGCGCCGTGACGAAAACCATTGCGACCACGGTCGTGGAGAAGATCGCCGCGGCTATGATACGAACGCGTGCGGTACTGCCCATGCGACGCTCGAGAGTGACTCTCGTTCGCGCTACTGAGATCATATGGCTCGCAGCGAGAGAGGGCGAGCACGAAGAGGTCCGTGGGAAGGTCGAGGATGCGCTGGGAGGACGCACGACGTGGCCCTCAGTTGCCTTCCTTGGCCTTGCGACGTCGCCGCTCGCAATGATTTCAAGAACTCTTGCGGCAGAAGGAAGCCGGAGGCCCGTGATCTTCCAAGATCCTTGCTCTGATGGGGACTCTGTCCTCCGTCCCATCCCTAGCTTGGGTTGTCCGCTTCTCCGGTTTTTTTCTTCCATTAATTACACCCTCCCTCAGAAGTGGCCCTACGTGTACTCTGCGCTGCGCAGGAGAGGGAACGACGAGAGTGGGCCGCGAGAGACTACTGCGACGGTGCGATGGGACCGGTATATTTGGTCATATTTGATTGAAATGGTATTCCGGATGGTATTCCGATTCGTTCCTCCACATTCCAGCTGCAGCTCCCCCTGCGCTGACGTGTGCGCTCTCCTTTTTACATACATATTTTATAGCGGCTCTGTGACTCCATGTTCATCTCTCGGGTGTAAATGGCGGGAGCGCCTGCTCTGCTCGCCTCGCCTCGCTCGTCCTCCCCAGCTTCGCGCGCTCTCCTCGATCGCCGCCGCCAACTCGCCTCCACAAACACCACACAAGTCTACCGTCCTGGATGCGCCTCCCGCCACTCTCGGATCATCCGGCGCAGGATGTGGCTCGGGAAGAGACAGATGTGCTCGAGCGCCTCGCCCGTCATCGGGCTCGTCGACTTGGTCGCGAGCCAGCGCTCCATCGCCGTCCGCTCGTAAGCGTGCCCGTCTGCCGCCATCACCGGGTCAATCATCAGCTCAGTCGTGATCGGGCAGATGAAGTCGTCCGGTGGCTCCTCCTCCTCCACCGAAGGCGGCCTCTCTGCAGCCAAAGAGGACGACACTTTCTCGTCGGGCGCCCGCCTCTCCTCCTCCAGCCTCGCGCTCTCCTCGAGCGCCGCCGCCAACTCTACCTCCTCCGCCACCGCCAGTGCTGCCTCATCCTCATCCTCAGGCTCCCGCGACGGCCCAGCGCCCCCCCCAGCCTTCCCCTTCTTCTTCTTCTTCTTCCCCTTCTTGCTCTCCTTGGTGCGCTCCGCCGCCTCCTCCGCCAGCAGCGCCTCGGCATGCCGCGTCGCCTCCGCCTCTGCCGCCGCTCTCCCCGCCTCCCTCGCCGCTGCCTGCGCTGCCTCCTTCGCCGCCGCCTCCGCCGCCGCATGCTCCTCAAGAGCGCGCACACACTCGGCGTGGCCTTGGTCCTTTGCGTACTGCAGCGCCTTCTTGCCCTTATCGGTGCGCGCCGACGCGTCTGCGCCAGCCCGCAGCAATAGTCGCACGACGGCGGGCTGGCCGTAGTCGGCGGCAACAATTAGCGCGGTGACACCGATGCTGTTCTGCAGGTAGATCTCTGCGCCGCGCTGCAGCAGCAGCTCGACTACCCGCTCGTGGCCGCTGCCGGCGGCGAACATCAGCGCGGTGCGGCCGTTGCTGCTCTGCAGGTTGACCTCAGCGCCGCGCCGTATCAGCAGGTCGACCACCCGCTCGTGGCCGTAGCGGGCGGCGCTCATCAGCAGCGTGATGCCGCTCACCTCGCCTCTCTCGTACGTCGCGTTGACCCGCCCGCCGCTGTCGAGCCATGAAAGCACCGCCGCCTCGTCGCCTCGCCAAGCCGCTTCCATGACCTCTACGGTGAAGCTGCCAAGTGAGCTAGAAGAGGCCGCAACCCTTGCTCCCGCCGCCGCCTCGCCCGAGGAAGCGCCGCCCGCGCCGCCCGCGCCGCCCGCAGCCGCTTCGCGCCGGCTCGCAGTCACCTCCGCGATGTGCTGCCTGAAGGCCTCGACGCACGCGCTGTGGCCGTTCTCCTTGGCGTACTGCAGCGCGGACTGGCCGTCCCCAGCGCGCAGCGCCACGTCTGCGCCCGCCCGCAGCAAGCGGAGCACGACGGCGGAGTGGCCTTGGTGGGCGGCGCACATCAGCGCCGTGTCGCCGTCGACGTCCTGCTTGTCAATCTGCGCGCCGTGCTGCAGCAGCAGCTCTACCACCCGCTCGCGGCCTCTGGCCGCGGCATTCGTCAGCGCGGTGTCGCCGAATGTGTCCTCCAGGTTGGCGTCCGCGCCGCGCTGCAGCAGCAGGTCGACCACCCGCTCGCGGCCTTGGCCAGCGGCAACAATCAGCGCGGTGAAGCCTTTCCTGTTCTGCAGGTTGATCTCAGCGCCGCGCTGCAGCAACAGCTCAACTACCCGCTCGTGGCCGTACGCGGCGTCCATCAGCGCGGTGTCGCCGTCGCTGTCCTGCATGTTGATCGCCGCGCCGTGCCGCAGCAGCAGCTCGACTAGCCGCTCGTGGCCATGGCCGGCGGCCGTCATCAGCACGGAGACGCCGCTGACATCGCGTACCCCGCGAGTCGCGTTGACCTGGCCGCCACTCTCAAGCCACGCCAGCAGCGCCGCCTCGTTGCCTCGCGCAGCCGCTTGCCTGGCCTCTTCAGGAAGGCTGCCGGTCTCCGCCACGATCGTGTTCATTGTCAACCCGGGTTCGGGCTTTTGCGTGGTGTGGTATGGCTTTGAGTGACGAGAAAAGCGGATCGGAGACGGAATCTACGCCAGAGGACGACAATCAGGAAGAGAGTCTCGGCTCGGGAGTTCGGAGAGAGAGATGGAGAGTCTTTTCTTGGAGTTCAGCGATAGCAGACAGGAAGGGGGAAGGGGGGGGGGGGGGGCGGATATCGCTTGCTTGTTGGCTTCCTACTCGAGTAGGTACGCGCGGTGTTTCTCGGAAGCGAAAGTTGCCGCTGCCGCGGCATCTTTGCTCTGCTGGTATCTCTCCCTCGCCTTGTCAGGGTGGCGAGATCTGCATCCGGTGCCGAGAAGCTTGCCCCAGCAGATTCCAGCGTGCGACGTCATGGAGAGGCCAAAGAAGCCGTCCAACGATCTTCACGCCGTCCGCGTATGCGATATTGTGGCTGGCCTGATCGCATTCGCAAGTGTTGCCTCCACGGCGCGTCACCCCCGTGGTTTACTGTTTGTCCACACCGCAATATGACGTAATCTCCCGTGGCTCATGTAGGGCCCTATTGCGTGGAAACTATTTGAGCTCGAGCACTTCTTCGCTCGAGACCTGCACATGCCACCTCGGGCTCATCCGCAGGAGCACGCAGTAGACGACGATTCAATAGTCCCCGCCTGGTGGGACGAGCACGTGACGGTGCCGATCGATCGATTGCGAGAGTTTCTTTCGGCTGTGGGCAGAGAGCTGCAATGTCAAGGGGAGAGCTGAGGACGGTCCCGTGAAAGCCACGACTGCGGGGAGGTTTCAAGAGATTCATTACTCTCTATATACACCTTACGGGGGCTCTCATTGCCTGAAATGCTGTGGAGAAACGAAACGCATACAATCTAGAGAGCCCCGAGACACTGGCCCCGTGTGTTGGGGGTCAACAGAGAGATCAAATTTCAAGCCAGGACTTTTACAATTCTACATGATCACGAGTGTCTCACGACACAGTCATGAGGGGCATATGCGATATGCATATGACGTTTTGGTACGGCGGCGGCGGGCTGCGAGAGAGCGACCAGACTCCAGGGCCGGCGAGCGCGAGAGAGGACTAGGTCCAGCCCTGGGTGAGCCAGATCTGACGTTTTGTATCTGAAAGTATAGAGATGGGAGTGAGGTTGAACCGGACCCAATCAAAGTCGGCGGGTTTCGGAGGGGGGGGGGGATATGACGAAAAACGGCGGGCGCATTTGGGCACATGACTGGGAGAACTCTGTGGTGGACCCGCTGGGCGAAAGGAGCTCGCAGACCGTTGCAGCCTCACGATGTCATTGAGCGGAGCGAGTGCGAGCGCGGCGGCCAAGCAGCGGCACCAGGAGCAGCGGCGAGCTGACACGAGCGCGCTCGCGGATGCGGCGAGGGGGCAGACGGCAGAGGCAGATGCCCGAGCTGCCGCCGTACGTGCCAGAATTTGACCTCTGACATCGCGTCACATATGCGTGTTTTCTCGTCTTGCGGTACATCTCTCCGCTCGCCACCTCACGCTCCGCCGTCCGGCCATGGATGGTTCGACGGAGCTCGCCGAGCTCCATCGAACCATCCAACTCCGGTCACCGGGTCTGAACGCGCTCAGCCTCAGGAGGTACCAAACCGCGCGAATTCTGCACGCCTCGCTGCACCGCTGGCTTGACTGAATCAGGCAGCAGCAGGCTGCTGCTGTTGCCACAGCAGCAGTCTGCTGCGGCCCCAATACGCAAGTTAATGACCAGCATGCATTGCTGCCGGGGGCATTCGAGCCGCCACAGCCGGTGTGCGGCTGTGCACTGCCACCTGCCCGCGGCTACGCACATGTGCGCTCGCATTGGATGAGCCCTGCTGATGGACCTGCGTCGCCTAGCTGCACGAGAGCAATGCCGCAGGCGGCGGCCGTGGCATACACTGCGAGCACACTTGGTGCAGCTGCGAGGTGCAGCAAGAGCACGTCGTTCCTGCCTCTGATGCCACTCTCGCGGCTTGTAGCGCGTCACTCGCGCATGCTCTCCAGGAGCTATGGCGGGCGCGTGTGTGGGGCTGTAGCCTGTGTTTGGCCGGTTCTGACCCGTTTACTATCAGTACCATGCCTGGGCCACAAGAATCGCACACGGGGAGCGGCTCAGGGACCCAGTAAGCCGCGGAATCGCCAAATGTCACAACCCGGCTCACCCAGGGCTGGACCTATAGTCAGAGACCGCGCAAAGACCAAGAGCCGCGAGCGTCCGGCACACATGTGTGGAATTTGTTTTCCTGCTGTGCCGGTGTGTACAGTGTGAGTCGTGACTCGTGTTGCTTGCTGTGTGGTCCTTTTCATGTTTCATCGCTCGGCGAACTGTGTGCCTCAATGCTCAAACGTAACCCGCCCCCCCCCTGCCCACCCCCCCTCGCTCGCCACGCAGCCGTGCACGCCTGCTGCACCGCCGGCGCCGCCACCGCGCACTCTCTTCAGGAGCTGGTAGCGTCCTGCTCACGACCAAGCAGCCGTCGAGGCTGGCCCACACGCGACGTGAGCGAAGCGCGAGAGCCGAAACTCAGCCGGCGCCTTGAGCATGACAGGCGTGTGTGTGGCCGCCTTACCCCCATCGCCGAGCTGCCCGCCGTCGTTCCACCCCCATGTGAAGACGTTGCCGCTCGAGAGCACAGCTGCGGTGTGGGCGTCGCCGCACGCGACGCCGAGGATCCGCAGAGGCACCACCCGCCCCAGGGCCTCGTCGTACTCCCGGAGCGACGCGAGCGTCGTGACCGGCCTCAAGCCGGCAATGTGAGAGAAGGCGCGCGCGCCGAGGGCGCCCCACCGGCCGTATCCGCACGTGTAGAGCTCGTCACCACGCGTGGTCTCGACAAGGAAGGCGGTGTGTCCGCCCTCAGTGCCTCCGCCGCCTGCGGCGACGGCTCGCACCCGCCCGTCCCGCCCGTCGGCGAGCCACGGCCCGCTCACAGCCGCCGGGCGTGAGGCATGGGTGGCGCCTCGCCGCAACGCCTTGATGGAGTCGTCTCGCAATCCGAGCTGCAGGTGGCGGTCGTCCCCCCACGCGAAGGCCGAGCCGTCGTCCAGCACCGCCACGCTATGCCCATGCCCACAGGCGGCGCCCACCACGCGGGCGCCGGCCGGCAGTGCCACCCTTGCCGCCTCCTCGGCCGCCAGCTTCTCCACGCAACCGCCGCTCCCGCCGACGCTGTCGCTCGTGCCGCCTTCTTGGCTCCCTTCGCTCCCGATGCCGATGCCGAGCTGGCCCCGCTCGTTTGCGCCAAAGGCAAAGAGCGCGCCGTCCTTGGCAGTCACGAGGACGTGCGACTCACTCGCGGCGACCGCCGTCGCTGAGACGGCAGCAAGAGCGCCTCCAAGACGCACCGGCGATGGCGGCGCGGGGGTTCCCGATGCTGCGGCGGTGGAGCACGCCCTGGTGGGCGCGGCATCCGGAACCGCGACGCTGGACCAATGGAGAAGTGCGCCGCTGGAGGTGACGGCGTACAACCCGTTTCCAGAGCATGCGAGGCTGGTGTATCGCCCGCGCGCCAGCCCTAGCCACCGGCTTGGCGCCGCTGCGAGCTTGATGGGCTCGCGGTCCTCGACGTTCCACGCCCACAGCTCGCCCGCGTCATCTAGCGCCGCGCCGTGAGCGACGCCAAAGCTCATCGCGATGACGCCTCGGCCTTGCTCGGACCAAAACCTCACATCGACCGGCGAGCGCTTGCGTGACCGCATGTTATTTGCCTGTGCGACGTCCGCGACGTCGCCGCCGTTGTTCAGCATGTTGGCTGCAGCGCCCGCAGTCGCGGTTGCAGCGGCAGACGAATCGGTGCTGCTGGTCGAACTCGGCACGCAGCGACCCCAGCACCAAAGAGACTGGGGTGCCGCGGCGGCGGCGGCGTCGCGGCGGCGACGACTCAGCTCCAGCCCGCCTAGCGTCGCGCCCACAGCCACGAGGCTTGGTGCTGAGCGCCACATGGACATGCAGCGACAGTTCTGACGAAAGAAGAATTTTGCGCGCGCTAGCACAGGTATACTACGGGAGCCGCCAAGCGACTCCAAAAAAGAATTTCACCAGATTAGCACGGGACTGGGAGAGGTTTGCGCCAGTGAGAAGCTGGAGGCAGGCCGCTAGACTGAGATGAGTCATGAGACCGCCAGCCAGTGGAGTTGGGAGTCCACCGTGCACCGCGCTGCGAGCCTGTCGTGTCCCTTGTCAGGAGCAGGAGAGCCCCAGAGCCCCACCTGTGGCTGTGCCCCTGATCGTCCTTCCAAAACGATCCTGCTCGTGCAGCGTGTGTGTGCGTGTGGGCCGTCCTCCATGCTTGGAGGTGTGTAAGACTGACTGACTGAGGCTGAGCGATGGCTTCAGATTTCTCAATCATTGTTTGAAAAAAAACTACGCAGGCGCTGTACTGTAATGCAGAATGCGCTGTGCAGGCGGAGGTGGCACCGAGGCGGTATTATGTGCACGCCCTGCCTCGTTTTGAGCAAAAGCACGGTGACGGTCCCTGAAAGTTGGAGACTTGTGTCTTTACGGTTGCTTCTTCCTTTACACCCATCCCAGCACCCCCACCCAGCCCCACGCCTTCGGGCGGTCGCGCACTGGCTGCCAACACGGCGCTCAACTCTTGCGCGACCCGAAGCCGGCGACGAGCTCGACGACGAGCGGAGCCGACAACGATCCAAGCCGACGACGCGCTCGACGACGAGCGTTAGCACACTCCGTCGGCGATGGCCTCCTCCGAAAAGCAGGTGGCCTTTGTAGGTCTTGGTGCGATGGGCGCGCACCTGGCGCGGCACCTGCACACCCTCTCTCTGGCGCAAAGCGGCCGGCCTGCTCTCGTGTGGAACCGCACGGCCGAGAAGGCGCTGCAGCACGCAGAGGCGCATGGCACCGTCGCAGCGTCCACGCTGGACGAGCTCCAAGCCGCGAGCGTCGTCTGCCTCTGCCTGCCAACGACGGCACATGTGAAAGAGGTGCTCAACCAGGTGCCGCTGCAGCCGGGGTCGCTGGTGATAGACTGCACGTCGGGCGACCCCGAGCAGACCAGTGCGCTCGCGGCGCAGCTCGCCACCCGGGGTATCCGTTTTGTTGATGCACCAGTCAGCGGCGGACCGAAGGGGGCGGCCGCGGGCAGTGTCACCTCGATGGTGGGCGGCTCTCCGGCCGACGTGGCCGATGCATCCGTCTTCATCGAAGCCTGGTCAAAGAAGGTGGTGCACTGCGGCGCTGTCGGCGCGGGCGATGCGACCAAGTCGATCAACAACGTGCTGAACTCGGCGCATCTGCTGCTGGCGACCGAGGGCATGCTCGCCCTCAAGAAGTACGGCGTCCAGCCGTCAACCGCGCTCGAGGCGATCAACGGCGGCTCGGGCATGTCGCTGCAGACGACGCGGCTGCCCGACAATGTGCTCTCGCGCAAGTTTGCGTACGGGTTCGCCCTCGGGCTGATGCGCAAGGACTGCAAGATCGCGGGGGGCCTCGTCGCGAGCCAGACGCCGAGCGCCACCCTCATCCCGCGCGTCGTCGACCTCCTTGGCGAGGCGGAGGCCGCCTTCGGCCCCGATGCGGACTACACGCAGATCGCGCAGCTGCTCGAGGACCGCGCGGGCGTGACTCTCGGCTAAAGAAGAGATGTGCATGCTTTGCAGTGGTTCCCACGCTCGAGCCGTAGAAGCGTTTCTGTACCTTAGCCAAGACGGCGCCAACTTGCCAAAAAAACTCTTGACTCTCACTTTCCTTGCGCGTAGCCGCCGCTGCTGGCGAGCCGGCGGCAGTGGCCGCGTGCCGCGGCACCGCGCGCGTCCGGACGCGTCGGCCGTCGCTGGGCGTGCCGCTCTGGCGCGCCGGCCGGAGGCTGTCGTGGTGGTGGACATGACGGATCTGGGCACAGTGATGACACTGCGGCTCACCGGCAATTGCGCACCAGCCTTGGCCGCGCAGCGAAGAAATTGGGTCGTTGGAAGCTCTCAGACGCACTCTTTCCAAGGAAAAATGAGGTGTCAGGCATCGGGCCGTCCAAGATCGGGACCCATACCTCTCGTGGTTCGCGCAAATCCACTGTCGACTGATTTTGGTGACGGGTCAGGTCCCACCACGGATTAAGAAATGAGCACCGCCGGCGCCAGAGGCCGGAAGAAGTGCTAAGAAATGAGCGGCGGACGAGCGATCCGTGTCGCTTTCTTAATGCCCGAGCACCGCGGGTGCGGGCCGCAGGCCCGCACCCTCCAGCACCGTAGCATTATGGTGATTTAGGGTTAGCCACACCGGCACTCTAGGTGCACAGCACCGCACCACACCGTTCGCGCCAGGCAGCAAGGTGATCGCTGCCGCCAGACCGAAGATCGCGCGCGCGTCGTGAGTGGCGGCGCGCGCGCGATCTCCGTTCCCGGGCACGCCGGTCGCAGTGGCATGGGCTCCCAGGCTCAAAAGCGCTCCCGTCAACAGCGAGCGAGCGCCGCCGCTGCTCCTCCTCCCGCCGCCGCTCACCGAGACTCGGTGCCGCCGTTCGCCACCGCCGCCGCCGCCGCCGCCGCCGCCGCCGCCGCCGCCGCCTCGCGCCTCGCCTCCGTCACCGCCGCCCTCCATCTCGCAGCGGCGCGTCCCTCTGATGGCGCGGGCGCCTCGCTCACCGGCGCCTCGCCGCCCCCCCCCCCCCCTTCTCGCGCCGCTCCGCTCGTGGCCGCCGCCTCCCCTGTCAATCCCGCCGCCTCCCCTGTCATCCCGCCGCCCGCACCACCGCCGCCACCGCCTCGCGCCTCGCCGCCGCCGCCACCGACCGCCCTCCCCTGCGCCGCTGAGCGCGGTGCAGGGGGTGAGCCCCCGCTGCGCAGCCTCACCGCAGTGCACTGCGCTCTCCGCGCCCCTGACGATTAGTGAGGAGGTGGTGTTGCACAGCATGGAGCTCGGCGAGCGTTTAGCGAGCCCCGCAGCTAGTCTAAAGATATAAGGGCCCCGCGTTGTCCGCCGTTTATCCCCGTGACCCGCGCAACTCGTGGTACCGAGGAGTCTCGAGCTTCAGCTGGCGAACCATCATGCCGCTCTCGGCACAGCAGAAGCGCGAGCGCCGCGCCGCGCAGCGCGCTGCCGAGGCTCAGGACGCGGCTCGCGGGCAGCGCAAGCCGGACGGCGCCGAGCCGGTGCTAGGCCGCCTCCGCTGCGCCTGCTTCCTTGCGCGCCGCTGGACGTCGGCCGAGAAGACCGCTTCCCTCTGGGGACCCGACTCCGCGAAGATCGCGCGCGCGTCGTGAGTGGCGGCGCGCGCGCGCGCGATCTCCGTTCCCGGGCACGCCGGTCGCAGTGGCATGGGCTCCCAGGCTCAAAAGCGCTCCCGTCAACAGCGAGCGAGCGCCGCCGCTGCTCCTCCTCCCGCCGCCGCTCACCGAGACTCGGTGCCGCCGTTCGCCGCCGCCGCCGCCGCCGCCGCCGCCGCCGCCGCCTCGCGCCTCGCCTCCGTCACCGCCGCCCTCCATCTCGCAGCGGCGCGTCCCTCTGATGGCGCGGGCGCCTCGCTCACGGGCGCCTCGCCGCCGCCCCCCCCCCTTCTTGCGCCGCTCCGCTCGTGGCCGCCGCCTCCCCTGTCAATCCCGCCGCCTCCCCTGTCATCCCGCCGCCCGCACCACCGCCGCCACCGCCTCGCGCCTCGCCGCCGCCGCCACCGACCGCCCTCCCCTGTGCCGCTGAGCGCGGTGCAGGGGGCGAGCCCCCGCTGCGCAGCCTCACCGCAGTGCACTGCGCTCTCCGCGCCCCTGACGATTAGTGAGGAGGTGGTGTTGCACAGCATGGAGCTCGGCGAGCGTTTAGCGAGCCCCGCAGCTAGTATCAAAGAGATATATTTGCCAAAGAGATATATTTGCCACTTTCCGCACAAACATGGCACCCGACCAGCTGAAGCTCTAGACTCGTCGACCGAGCTCTGGACGATGCCGACCTCAAACCACCAGCGCCAGCAACGACGTGCCGCGGCTCGCCGCGCCGCTGTTGCGACCGACGACGTGCCGAACGCCGTCCCGCGGCCGAAAGGAAGAGGCCCGCGCAACCACTTCTGGGACCCGCGGCCGCCGGGCGTGCGGCGGCACAACGAGTCGAACGAACCGAACCAGCGCAGAGCGGCGCGTCTCGCGAGCGCCCGCGGCCGCCACGCCGACGCCGTCCGCGGCCGACGGTGGTCGCGAATCAACGCGGCGCGGTGCAACGAGGCCAAGTCCTTCCAGGCTCCCGCCAGCAGCGCCTCGTGGCGTGGGCTGCACGGCCCTTCGAGACGGCCCGGGGGGCGGTGAGAGACCTCTCCCGCCGGCATGGCGCACTATATCACCCGTAGAGGCCTCTCTATAGTCGCCTTTTGGCACCTCCTCTATCCACGCCGCCGATTAGACCTCGCCGCATCGCATCGCCCCCTTCCCTGCCCCGTCGCCCTCCTGAGCTCTCCCTCCTTCGCTCCAGCCATGCACAGGACATCTGGACCATTGGCCCGCGTGCCAGGCGTCCGGGACGGCCGGGTATCGGCTCCGTACTTTGAGCCCTCTTGGGCCACCCTCGCGTCCACCGGCCGGCAGAGCACCGCTTGGGCGACTCAGACGGCCCGCCCGACCAGCGCGTTCGATCGTGCCGCCCCCACAGCGTCAGTGGCGTGCGTGGGGTGGCAGGCGGCGTCAGCGCAGCCCCTCGTGGGGGTGCCCACCGCTCTCCTCTCACCGCTCCCCCCCGCCCGTGGCACCCCACACACTCGTCCCTCCTCAGGGGCGCAAGGCGGCACGGCACGTTCAGCGCTTGCCTCGGCCCACCTCGCCTTCACGCCGCCACCGCGACCAAGGAGGTGGCCTCGGCGGCCCAGATGAAGCCCGTGCGGCTCGTTTGGGAGCCGCATGCCGTCCCTCTCTCGCCGGCGCTGCTCACCACGCCCAAGCCTACGCCGAGGAACCCGTCGCGCCCGTCGCTCACGAGCTGGTGGCTCGCATCGACCGAGCCGTCCAGCTTTCTCACGCCCTGCCCACGATCAAATTCGAGACGACCAACATCCGACCACAAAAAAGGCCCGCGCGTGCTGCGCGGGCCGGCGAGCGACTAGCGAGCCAACCTGCTAGTGATTAAGGGCTCCGGCCTGCGCTCGGCACCGGGCACCGCCTCGGTATACAAAATGCGCCTGCGGGCGGACCCTCACAGATCACAGATCACAACAAAGGAACGAAGGCAGGCGAAAACGCATGGTGGTGGTGGTGGTGGGGGGGGGGGGGTACTACAGAGCCGACGGCTCATATGTGTAGTCAGCGATCGATGCAACCGCACCTTAAACTCCCCCCGCGGTGGGGGCGCGCGGCGAGAGGGCGGCTGCCCCTTGCCCTTGGCGCATATGTGTAGTCAGCGATCGATGCAACCGCACCTTAAACTCCCCCCGCGGTGGGGGCGCGCGGCGAGAGGGCGGCTCAAAGGGGGGGAGGGCGAGAGCAAGGGGAGCCGTGTGTCATTTCCTGCCGCGATGCGGCTCTCTCCCCAGCAATAACTTTTTTTGAGCTAGCCTTCGATGTAATGAGACAAACTCTTTGGATTTTGGGGGAAACCAAGCCCTGCTGAGACCAACCTCGCTGTACACGGTCTAGCCGCCTTCGACGTTCGAGCCGGCGCGCGGCGGCGGCGCGGGCCACACGCAGAATGAGCCCCCCCCCCCCCCCCCCTCCGCAGGAGAAAGCAGCAATCAGGGAGGACGAGACCTAGGCTAGTCGTCGCCCCACAACAGACCCTGCACTGGTGGGGCAAGCTAGCTAGAGGGGCGACCCGCGCGACTCCAAATCTAAAGGACAGGAGCCCCACGGCGTGGGGACCCTGTCTCCTCCCCCATCCCGCCTATCGTTTGGGTTGCGGTTGTCTTTCTTTATTTTCGAGAGGTTTGGGGACTGGCCACAAAAAAATCTTTGACCCACCATTCCACCATGCACCAACCGCACCCAGGAGCTTTCTCTAAAATTTTTCTAGAAAATGTCGCACGACGCACGTGTGTTACCGGGCCTCGAACGGGTTGCCCTGCGTGTAGTTGGACAGGTCCATGTGCCCGTCGCTCGCGCTGGCGATGGCGCACCCCGCGCCAGGCCCAGCACGTGGCGTGTCGTCCTCCTCGCTCCAGAACGAGTGCCAAAAGTGTCCCGAGTCTGCCGACCGCGGCTGCAGCACGGTGCGTGGGTCCGAGAAGGTCTTGAAGATAAACCGTGCAGGCTCGGACCAGCCACAGTCCGCAGTCCCACAGTTGACCGTTAGCGACGTGCAGCGACTGTCGGCGGAGCAGATGCGCTTCGCCTCCGTGAGCGTGGTCTCCTTGGAGTACAGCTCAAAGTCCGCCGGAAGGTAGCCGTCCCCTCGCACCCATTTGCGTGGCACCTGTACACGCGGCGGTTAGTGAAGCGCGCGCACAAAACTGGGCCGGGGTCGTGCGGCAAGCCTCGATCTTTGGACAGCCGTCCACCCCGCAGAAGCGCCAGTACACCGTGTAGGTCTCGTCGACCATCTCGTTGAGCGGCCACATGAGCACGCCCTGCCCGCGCGCGCCGCGCGCCCAGAAGGAGCACGGCGGGTACTCCGCCGCGCTCGGCCTCTTCTCGAGCTCGAGCGCTTGCGCCGTGCCGTTGACGAGCGCCAAACGCTCCGCAGCCCGGGGCGCGCTATTCGCGCCGGCCGGCCCAGACACCGCTCCAATGAACCACCCGGGCCACCCCGCCGGCTCCAACCGCAACCTGCTGCCGGCCAGCGCGTGCAACCGCCAGCCATGAGGCGATGAGCCGCGCCTTGGCACCTCAAGCATGAGGGCACCGGCCGCAGACGGGGCGACAAATCGGCCTGGGAGCGCAAACGCCTCGAGCGCTACCTCTCCGTTGGCTCGTGGCACAGCGCGAAAAGTCGCGGCGTTTGCGGCATCGGAGCCTCCGCGCCGCCGATTCGAGAAGCCAGGCTCGGTGAGCCTTCGCAGCTCGACTGCGCTCTGCCCAAGCACAGAGAGGAATTCGCCGCTCTCGGCGGCCCGCAAGCTGATGAGCTGGCCGCGCGCGTCCGCGGGGACGGGCACAATCGCGTCGTCGAGGCGCTCGCGCCTACGCCCCGGAGCATGCGACGGTGAGGGGCGCGCCGACGGGCGCGCGAAAAGGTAGACGTGCGCCACCGTCCGTGCAACTCGGACTGCCCAGACGTCGTCAGGCCGGCGAGCACGAGCGGGCCGTACAGCAGCGCTGTCATCTCCTTGTACTGGCAGCGTGGGTCCTTGAGCGGCTCAACGTGCAGCGCGGCGGGCAGAGAGAGACGTACGCTCACCTCCTCGCCAGTCCGCACAGGCGGCGTCAGCTCGAAGCTCCAAAAGTCCACATTGAGATCGGTACTGCCCGCCGCCACCGCGCCGCTCACCGAGCCACGAAGCCCTCCGTCGCCGCCACCGTCACGCAAGGCGGCAGCGGCGGCCGCAGCGCGTGCCCATCGCGGTATGCGGAGCTTCAGCCGCAGGGAGGACGGCAGCCCAGCGGCGTCCGATGCGCCGTGTCGCTCAGGAGACGCGAGTTGGAGGGGCGTGAGGGTGAGGGTTGCGTTGCACGGAGTGCCGCTCGGCACATCGAGCGCCCCGTTGGCGGTGAGAGTCGCACGGACGCGCTGTTCCGGCCAGACCAGCTCGGTTGGGACGAGCGAGACCAGCCAGAGATCGGCGGGCGACCCTGGGCCGCCAGAGGCGGCGGCGGCGGCGGCGGTGACAGGAGGGGCGAAGAAGAAGGTTGCCTCCTGTAACTTTGCATGGGCCTCGATGCCGGTCCCCATGCAGCAGCTGAAGTACTGGGTGGGGTGGGACCAGCCGCTAGTGCCGAGGTTGATGCCCGCCTCCTTCTTGCTGACCCCTGTGCCGAGGGGGTAGAAATAGAGCATCTGCCCTGGCTGCGTGCCACGCTGAGTGCCGAGCACGCCATTCAGCTGCAGCCGCTCGATGAAGTCTGCGTACTGCGGCTGCCGCGTTGACCGGAAGAGGTCGATGGCGAGCCGCAACGTATTGTGCGTCACGCACGACTCCTGGTGCACCGTTCCGAATGGCGGCGGGCCGAGCAGGTGGCCCAGCTTGTTGGGCGAGCCCCAATTTTCGTGGTGGGAGGAGCCGCCGGTCGCAAACGTGCGCGTCGTGTTGAGGAGGTCGAGAAAGTTCTCAGCGAGGAGGCGGAAGACGGGCTCACCAGTCACCTCATGCCGATGCAGCGCCCCGATGGCGATGGGCACGTGCGTGTTCGCGTGCATTTTTGACAGTCGATCCTCGTGGGCTGCTTGTGGCGAAAGGAAGCAAGGCTTGTCGAATAGAGAGGCCCACCGACGGTGCTCGGGCCGGCCGGTGATGGCCGCCAGCTGCCATAGCACGTCATTCATCCCGCCGTACTCCATATTCAAAGTCGCCCAGTGGTGGGTCAGCCCCGAGGTGGATAGCACTCGCTCTAGGCGGCCGCCCACGTACGCCGCGAGGCCGATGGCGAGCTGCAGCGCGAGAGAGGAGCCGGCGATCGTGTACTGGTCGAGCAGCCCCTGCAACACCTTGTGAAGCGTGTAGTAGGGCGCCCAGACGGGCTCGATGCGCTCGAACCGATCGAGCAGCGACTCTGGAAAGGCAGAGAGGTAGCCCCCGCCCAGGCGCGCAGCGACTTCGGCCATGGCGGAGACGACGTACCGCATCCGACCATCGAGAACGGAGTGGTTTGTTGAAGCCCAGGTCATTGCGCACGCAGACAGATAGTGGCCGAGGAAGTGGCCCCGCAGCTCCATGTGCGGCGCCTCCCAGCCGCCGGCGGGTCTGCCCTTCGGATGCTCGCCCGCATTGCGCCTCCACGCCCACAGCAGGGTGTCGGGGTCGATGGAGAGGAGGTAATTCAGGTTGACCTGCATCGAGGCCCATTGTGCACTGCCCGCGAGCAGCCGCAGTCGCCGCAGGGAGAACTGCTGCAGCGTCGCGGTTGGTGGTTCCGGCAGGCCCTGATACGGCGAGTGCAAGTTTATGGCATGCAACTCGGTGTACTTGGCGCCCGCCTTGCCGAAGCCCGGTCCAGAGTACAGCGGACACGCTATCGTCGTGCCTGCTGCGGGCTCTGTTTGCCGTGGCAGCGCCACCTCTCGCTGCCGCCGTGACTGCGCAGCCAACTCCTCTTCCGTTGCCTTACGAAGAGCAGCGGCTGGTCGCCGCATGTGCCGCTCCAGGCTGAAGAGAAAGACGAAACACAACCCGATGAGAACGGCGAGAAGGAGCACTGTCGACCTCGGCGGCCCGCGTCTCGCGGCCATCTCTACTTGTCCACTCGATCACCGGTCGGGAGCTCAGTCTTGCGGGCGCTCTGCAGCTGCCTGCGTCAGAGCTTCCCGCACCAGCGCTGAGATTGCTCGGTCGAGCCAGCGGCCACGGCGCCCACGGTGAGGTGAACACGACTAACTGACGGATCCGCTCCTGATAGTCGCTGTGGCGCCCCGATGTCTTTGTTTGATTTCTCGAGACGGTTTGGCCGGCGCCATGTGGCGCCGGGCCCGCCCTCCAGGGCGTGGCACGTCTAGTGCCAGCGACGCAAACGGCAAGTGTTTTGCGACGGGTAGTGTTGGGACCAACACGACGCCGATCGTTGAAAGTAGCAACCACTCACACACGCCTCTAACCAACCTGAGTTGCCGGGAACGGCAACTGGGGTCCGTTCTGACTAGTACATGTAACACGTTCTGGCCCTCGCCATTCTGATCATTCCTGGAACACCCTCGGACCGACCCAGGTGGCCGGCCGGGTAAAACCCGGGTATACCCGAGAATTCTCAGGTATACCCGAAAAATTCCCGGAGCGCGCGCGTCGCTATGGCGCCCTATCCCACAGGCACGTGCGCCAACTGCACCAACCACGGTGTGCTCAAGTATGCGCGCCGCACCAGGTGTACCCGCTATATCGAGCGTGACCGCGTCAACTTCGTCGCCAAGTTCGGCGCGGCGACGGACCTCTCGCTCGAGTCGTCGATGTATACGACGGCTCGCCGTCGGCAGAGTACGAGTCGTGGCTGCTGCTCGAGCCTGTTCTGGCGCCGACGGAGGCGGCGGCCCTGCCAGCGGCGGCCGGCGGCGCGATCGTCGCCGCGTGAAGAGGTCGGACCGGCTGGGGCCGGGCGGTGGGCGGTGGGCTGCCCGGGGGGATGGGCTGTGGCACGGTCCGAGTCGTAGGGCCGGTGCCGCCTGGATGGATGCCGTTCTCTGATCGTTCCTGCGACCTTTGTAGTCTTCCGTCCGAGGTCGGGCTGAGGGAGGACTGATGAGCCGCGTCACTGTCCCTGTGCCTGTCTGCTGCTAGTGCCGAGAGAGAGGCTCCGGGTCTCAGCGCCTCAGGCGGGCCCAGTGGCCGGTGTTCTGAACGTTCTGAGAACGCATTCCCAGCCTTGCCATTCTGATCATTCCCCTTACCTCGGCAACTCAGTAACCAACTGGCTCAGTTGAAGAGGCCGCGCCCACAGCTCTCACACCTATCTCTCTGGTACACAATATTGGAAGCGTTGTGAATTGTGGACCATTGGCCCCCTAAAAATCTCTCTCTCAACTCTCTCTCCGTAAGACTTCGGAGAAGGCAAGCCGTGAAGTTGTCAACCGTCTCGGCGTCGACAACAACTGGAACTCGAACCAGTCGTGCTGCGGGAACGGCCACCCCTCTGATTGCTCTGACAGGCACGCCTTGCACCTCGCCATGGATCCGCGGCAGAAGCCAATCCTGCAACGTTTTCAGGAAAGAGAGGAGGAAGACGCATACCAAAACTGCTCCAATCGGTAGCTCCGTGCGTTGCCTTCCACTGTGTAGGAGTTGTTGCAGCTTCTCGATCTTTGAAGTCTTGTCCTGCAGCAATATTTTCTGCCTCCAAATGTAGTCTAATACGTCATCGCACCTCCGCCATGAGGACGGCCTTGTGCGAGCGCTGTCGTTGAGAACGAAGCGGCCGGAGTGTTCTTGTTTTGCCTTCAAGACATATTTCCTGAGGTAGCTCGTTCCCTTGGTGAGGGCGGTCGGGTCGTGCATCGTCTGGGCGACGTCCGTCGGACTACGGTCCGCCATCTTTGGCAGGTCTTTGATCGGCTTCAAATCGTCCTCCTTGAGCTTGACGCCGCTCGCGATGTTGGTACGGGCGAGGTCGAGTGTCTCGGTCATGGTTTTGAAGAGGGAAGTCGTGCGTCCCGCCTCGAGCTGCAGATCCCGGCCGGTCACATTCGTGTACGTGTCCCGCTGATACGCAAGGTACTGTCCAGTTGTGGGCAACCAGTGGCTCTGAATGCGCATGCCGAGGATCGAATCTGACTCAAAGCGCACGGGGTTGGTGCCGCCGACCGTCGGGAGGAAGCCGAGGAGTGCCAGAACGATCCAGAGGGCGCCGACGGTGCCGATTCCGCCGCAGAGAGTGGCGGTCGAGGCCGGATCGATGCGGGTACCTTCGCCGTCATCCAACAGTCCAAGATCTTCTTCACCGCCTCCTTCCAGCGCGTGCTGCTCGGGCGCACCCTCTCCGTCCCAAAATGGTGTGCCCTCCTCTCCCTCGTGCTCGGAGTCCTACTCATCTCGCTCGAGGCTGGGCCTGACCGGAGGCCCTGCGACCTCCTCGCCGCGGCAAACGGCGGCGCCACCGCCGCCGGCGGGCCGCCGGCGCCTGCTCGCGGCGTGGGCGGGTACACCGTTGGAGTGGTGGCGGTGACGCTCGACTGTCTCCTCTCGGGCCTCGCGACGGTCTACTTTGAGAAGGTGCTCAAGACGACGCCGCTGACGGTGTGGGACCGCAACCTGCAGCTCGCCGCCTACTCGCTCGCAATCTACCTGCCGTGGGCGCTCTACGACAGCCCGAGTGCACCGTTTGCGGGCTGGTCGGCGATCACCTGCCTCGTTGCCCTCCTCGGCGCCTTGGGTGGCATCCTCGTTGCCATGGTGATCAAGTACGCCGACGGGCTCGCCAAGAACCTCTCGACCGCCTCCTCCATCGTGCTAACCACCGCCGCGGGGCACTACGCCTTCAACGGTCAGCCCCCGAGATGAGGCGCATGCCGCGCACTCCCACACACACGCCTGACTCTTGCCGCTGTCTGGCGGTAGGGCCAATGAATGGGTCGATCATCCTCGGCTCGCTCATGGTCATCGTCTCGGGCTACAACTATCAGACGGTGCGATGAGGACGGGACAGTCCTACAGCGAGACCCTCAGAGAAAGGCTGCACTGAGCTCCCACCCGTGTGTGGGTGTAGCGCAAAATGCGGGGAGGGGGCCGAAGTTGCGGCCGGAGTTCGCCCGATCCTCGCCCGAGCCCGACGCGTCGCAAACACACGCTACCGGCACACACGGTCACGGACGCGTTAGTAAAAGAAAAATCAAGGAACTGCTCCAAGCAGAAAAGAAAGAAAGAAAACAGACAACCCAGGGGAGGAATTCTCGCAGCGAGCTTTCGTCTCCAGAACGGCGTGTGCGCGCACTTGGAGCACTTGGAGTGCAGTCGGCAACATCCAGGGCCGGGGAGCTAAGAAGCACACCCAGCGGGCCAGATGATCGGTCCATCGGGTTACGGGCTAGAGAGCCCTAGCCCTAGGGGGTGCGCGTTCGCAGGGAAAGGGCCGTAAAGTAAACACGGGTCTCCGAGGGTTAGTTCCGTGTACCGGGTTTCCCCTTAACTGCCGAACCCCGAACGCGGCCCCCTCTTACTCGGAGCTAACACGGACACACCACGCCGTACTCCACGCACGTACACGGAAACACCTCACGTGTGATCGCCCGACCCCAGTCCCAGAGTCCCGTCCTCCGCTCACCGGGGCGAGCCATCGGCTCGGTCCGGTCCCCTGCTATACATACATGCACATGCATGCATGTGTGCATGTGCACGTGACTGCCGCGGAACCAACCCCGATGCGTGAGTGCGCACGCCCCCCGCGGCTCAAGCCCCAAAGCGTCGCCACCTCGCCCAGCAATGACACCTGAGGACATTTCTGCTGTGAGAGGGGCTTGTCTTCGTAGAATTCTACGTTGCTTTTCTTCTTTGTGCCCCAGTAGTGGGGGGTGCTCGCGCCGCCTAGCTCTGCGGACGGGCACCTCCACCCTTCACGTACGGATCATGTAGTCCCCGCACTCGCTGTCGTGGGATCGCTTGTCATTTGAGAGAGTGCGTTGGGTTCTCGTTGGGTCTTTGTGAAAATTCTCTTTGTGAAAAATTAATAGCGGCGCTGCTGATGCACAACAGCATGATGCTCAGCTCGATCCTCCTGTGCGCTTCCACCACTCGACCACGGCGTCCTGCTCCGCAAAGGCAGGTGGGTGGGAACAGGTGCAGCGGTTTTTCTTCTTTTGTGAGGCTCTTCATATGGCGCTGCTGATGCACATGTTGCTCAGCTCGATCCTGTGCGCTTCCGCCGCTGGCCTCCAGCCGTCGCGCATCCGGAGCCCACCCATCCGGAGCCCACCCATGTCGATGGTCCTCAACGAACGTGCACCGTCGGTCGCCCGCAAAGCCCGACAGGAATTTGCAGCAGCGGTGTCCGAAGTCCAAGCTCTCACAAAGCCGAGCACGCCACTCGAGACGCAGCAGCGACAGTTGATAGATCTGCTGATCGCTCAAGTGTCGGCCAATGACAAAGGATTTGCCGACGAGGTGGCCGACTTGGACAAACGCGGCCGCATGGCCCTCGAGCACCTGGACCGCCGCGATGCGCTTGCAGTGAGCCTGGCCACCGCAAAGGAGGCGGTCGCGGCGGCAGAGGCGGAGGCGGGCCCTCTGCGCGAGGAGTGTGCCGCCCTGGAGCGAGCCAAGGAGAGCTCCGAGCGGACGCTCGTCTCACTCCCCGGAGAGATTGCCTCGCTGCGCGACTCGGCGGAGACGCTCGAGGCGGAGCTGGCCGAGCTGCGGCCAGCGATCGCGATCTTCACGGACGAGCAGGCGGACCTGCTGGCGAGAAAGGAGGGCCTCACCGCTGAGCTCACCGATGCAACCTCCGAGCACCGCTCTCGGTGCGCCGCGCTCGAGGAGGCGCGCAGTCGCGTGGCGGAGCTGTCGGCAGAGCTGCAGTCTACGAGCGCCGCCCTCGCGGCGAGCGACGCGGAGCTGGCCAAGCTGGCGCGGGAGAAGGAGGCGCGTGGCGGCAGCACCCTGTAGCCTGCAGCGAGAGCGTCCTCACGCGGACAGCGTTGTCGCTGCAGGAGACGGCCGCCGCGCTCGAGCCGCTGCCGGAGCGGCTCGAGCTTGCGCGCTCCGAGGCGGCTGAGGCGGCGGAGAGCGTGGCTGCGCTGCAGGAGCGGCGCGAGGCGATGTCGTCCGAGCTAGAGGAGGAGAGCGCCGCGCTGACATCGCGGCTGGCCGCCTACGAGGCCCGCGCCTGCAGCGCACGTCCTCCCTCAGAGCTAGCTCGCGCCCTCTCTTCCCTCGCACCTCACGCCCCCTCTTCCCTCGCACCTCACGCTCCCTCTTCCCTCGCACCTCACGCCCCCTCTTCTCTCGCACCTCACGACCCTTCACACCTCTCCTCCCTCCCTCAGTCGGAGCGCGAGGCCCTTCGCATCGCGCGCCTCGAGCTCGCCCGCGTGCGCAAGGAGCGCAACGTAGTCGCCGAGGAGTCCGCTGCCGCGACGCAAGAGGCTGCCGACAGCGAGGAGCTGGCCAAGGCGCTGCGAAAAGAGATTGAGACCCTCAAAACGGAGGCCCCGGCGCTCGAGGCCAGGCGCGCGCACGCCACTTCCGCGCTCGAAGAGGCCCTCGCCGCGGTCGAGCTCTTCGAGAATGGCGCGACGGCGAGCTCACCGCGCCCTCCGCTCCCACCGCCTCACGCCACGGGGGGGGGGGGGGGGGGCGAAGGCGCGGCTGCTCTTGTTGTCGCGTAGGCGGCCTCTCTCTTCCCGGAGGACTCGCCCGAGCCCGACGCGTCTGCCGCCGCCGGGCAAGGCGAGGACGCGGGCGGGGGCGCGAGCGCGCGCATGGCGGCGGTGTTGGACGAGCGGATCGAAGATACCGGGCGGCAGCTCGCCGCGTCGGTCGCCGACATGGACGACCGCATCGAGGCGCTGGGCGACTTTTCGGAGACGGTCCGCACGGCGATGGAGGCGGCGGCGGCGCGGCGCGAGAGCGCGCAGCGCTCGCTGGAGCAGCTGGCCGTGGAGCAGCGGCGCGCGTCGGAGGAGATGAAGCTGCAGCTCGAGTCTGCCCTCGCCGCCATGGAGGAGATGCAGAGTCAGTGGGACGGCGCCGTCGACTCGAATGCCGTGGAGGTCCGCCGACTCAAGGCGGCCGCGTCTCAGGTGAGACGCACCCGACCCCAACCAGCCTTGTAAGCCCCGACCCACCCACCCACCACCACCACCACCACAGACCCACGAAACGCACACTCACGCCGCACGCCGCACGCCACCACGACCGCCTCGAACGACCGCCTCCCCGCCTCGCAGGCTGCGGAGGTGCGGGGCGAGGCCACGGCCGCGCTCGACCGCAAGCGCACCGCCATCGAGTCCGAGGCGCAGGCGCTGAGCTCGCTGTCGGCCACGCGGCGTGGCTTGGCCGAGGAGGAGGCCGCGCTGCGCAAGCGGTACGTGGCGCTACGGCAGAGGTGCGCTCCCTGAGAGCAGAGGGCGCCCCTCGCACCCGCCCACCCCCCAGCCCCCCCCGCGACGCTGGCTCGTGCGAGTGTAGGCGTCTGGCCAAGCTCAAGCAAGGCGGCGCCGGCCGCCCTTTCCCCGCCGCGCCGGTCGAGTGGAGCCGGCCGTGCCCCCCCTCCAAGGCATATGCACCCTCTGACGCAGCCGCTTCCGCGAGTAGGTTGACCTTGAGGAGGTTGCAGAGGTGGCGGGCGCCAACGCCGAGAAGGCGGCGGCAGCGCTGCTGCGCTTCTTCTCCAGCGACAAGGCGGGCGACGGGAAGGAGCCGCCAGTCATGGGCAGTGGCGCAGAGTCGTCGGAGTGAGACGACGTTGAGCACGATGCCGCGGGCCGAAGCGCGGTTTGCATATAGCTTCAACGCACGCTCGGTTTGTTCTTTTATGTACTAACTTAGAGGGAATATTGATGTGAGACGACGGAGCCGCGTCATGAGCAGTTTCTGAGAGTCATACACACGTTATCCCTTGTGCCTTGACACTCACTAGACACAGGACTATAATAGGGACTATGCTATACAGTCACAGTGTGCTTTGTGGAGCGACACGACACAGTGCTACACCCTACACCAACAGGGGCAAAGCGACTGCCTTCTCCAGGTAGGCTTGCTGCTCATTGATCGTTAAGCCGTCCCACTCGTAGAATGGAACGCTGATCACCCTCCAGCCAGCCGCCGCGAGGAGGCGCCGCTTGAGCAGCGTTGGCCCATTGGATTTGCGCGCACGCCCCGGCCGTCGGGCAGCAGGAAATGAAAGGGGCCGTCCACCTCAATCGCGATGCGTGATGAGGGCAACGCCAGGTCATCAAGCGAGTAGCTGGTGCGCGGTTCGAGATGCTCCTCCTCAAAGCCGGGCCGGATGGCGGCGAGGGCAGTCGCGACAGAGCGCTGCAAGCCTGACGTCCGAGATATGGTCGCCACCATAGTGTTCGAGGTACAGACCTCGATACTAACAAAGACTACGATACTCGGGGTACTCGAGTACCCGGGTAGCCCGTCACGCCAAGCGCGCGCACGCTTGAGCACGTCCACCGTCGAGAGCGCCCTGCGGCGTCGTCACGAGCACCTGATGAACCCACTCTTTCGCCTCCTCGGCCTCAGTCGAGCGATCATCCTCTACGTCGATCCTACAGGCTACGAGCGCGGCCGTGTGCTCGAGACGTGTGCGGCACGCCATTTCCACGTTGTGGAGGTGTTTTCGCCTCCGTTTGCGTCGCGATTCAGCGGAGAGGTCGAGGGCGTGCTTGCCGCTCCAGAAGCTGGCGAGGAGTGCACATGGGCGGAAACATTAACAGGACGGCGCGGGCGCATCGTCGCCGTGTGCTGTGGCAGCGACGACGGCCTCGCCACCGCAGAGCGGCTGGCAGCGGCATTAACGCCTCGTTGCTCCAATGGTATCAACGTCGCTCGACGCGACAAGTACCTCATGCACGAGGCGCTGCGAGCGGCGGGGCTACGTGCCGCACAGCAGCGTGTCGTCTCGCGTTGGGAGGAGGAGGGAGAGCCGTTCGTGCGAGAGCTGCTTGCGGCGCCATTGGAGCGCGGGGTCGTGTGCAAGCCCCGACGAGGGCAAGCCTCGATCAGGGTCAGCCTTGCGGACAGTGTGGCTACGGCGGGGCGGCAGTGTCGGGCGCTACTCGCCGCTCCCGTCGCGCTGCTCCGGGGCGACGACGAGGCCGGCTCGCCCTCCGTGCTGCTGCAGGAGGAGCTTCGAGGGCGGGAGTGGGTGGTCGACAGCGTGAGCCGGGACGGGGAGCACAAGGTGGTCGCCCTCTGGCGCTACTCCAAGGCGAGCTTGAACGGCGCGCCCTTTGTCAACCTGTGCGACGAACTGCGGCCGGCAAACGACGCCGACGACGAGGCGCTGATGGAGTACGCGCGGCGTGTCCTCGACGCGCTAGGCGTGAGATGGGGCCCCGCCCACCTGGAGATCAAGCGGCCCGCGTCCGGGCCGGTGCTGGTCGAGGCGAACGTCGGCCGGTGGAACGGGGTCGACTTCAAGCTGCTCGCAGACGCATGCCTCGGATACAACGCCTACGAGGCAACTCTGGACGCCTTCACCGACCGCCGCCGCTGGGAGGCGTTGCCAGCGACGCCGCCTCCGGCGCTAGGTGGCGCCGGCCGGTGAGAAGCTTGTGGAAGCTTGTGCCGCTCTCACTCCAGACATCAGCAACCCTCCAACCGCCGGTCCGTGTCTCACAGGCTCGTCAAGCTCGTCTCGAGCGTCGAGGGAGAGCTCCGCGCGCTGAGGCGATGGGTCCCCGTCACACACCACCCGCCACCCTTTCCCCCAACACCCGTCCACCACTTCCCGTCCGCAGGCACGCCGAAGAGTTGGCCGAGCTGCCCTCGCTGGTGCGGTTCGAGACCGAGGCCACCGATCCAGGCGACCGGGTCAAGCGGACTGTCGACCTCGACACATGCGCCGGCTTGGCCGTGCTCCTCCACGCGGACGCCGCGCAAGTCGAGGCCGACTACGCGCGGCTGAGGGCGCTGCAGCCGACACTGTTCGAGGTGGAGTCTGTGGAGACCGGGGACGGGGTGGCATGAGCCGGAGACGGAAGACGGTGGGCCGCCCGCGCTCGAATGCGGGGCACGCGCGAGAGAGAGAGAGCCGGGCGGTGTATGGCATGGCGGTGCGGAGCGGGCGATTTTGGCGGTCGCCGGGTCCGCGCCGCGGCCCGCGGGTCTCCGCGCGCGTACGTTGATCTCATGACGTCCATGATAACGTCTCAGGATCAGAGGCCCCGAGTCCCTGCCCTTTTTCGTAACAGGCACTTTCTCAATAATTAGCACAGACATACCCTGTGCGCGGTGCCCGGTGCCGAACGCTGTCGGACCTTAAGACAGCATTGTAGACCCCTGGGCGAGGGTGGTGGAGAGGGCAGTCCGGCGGCGGAGGAGCGGCAGCAAGGGGAGAGCAGACGGTCGCGATCCGCGCGAGCGAACATCGCGCACGCGGTCAGGAGCAGCAGCGCGAATTTCATCGGGGCATCTGTGGAGGGCACGGTGGCGGCGGTGTGATCGGTGGCAATGTGTGAGAGCCTTCGGCGAGAGCCAGTGCTTTGTGTGCGCCTGTCAACTAGCCCAACAGCCCCTGCAGGTAGGTTTGCCTCTCATTGGCCGTCGCGAAGCCGTCCCACTCGTAGAATGGAACGCTGATCACCCGCCAGCCAGCCGCCGCAAGGAGGCGCCGCTTGAGCAGCGTCGGCCCGTTGGATTTGCGCACGCCCCGGCCGTCGGGCAGCAGGAAATGAAAGGGGCCGTCCACCTCGACCGCGACGCGTGACGAGGGCAGCGCCAGGTCGAGCGAGTAGCCGGTGCGCGGTTCGAGATGCTCCTCCTCAAAGCCGGGGCCCCACACGGCGGCGAGGACAGCTGCAACCGAGCGCTGCAAGCCTGACGTCCGAGCTATGGTCGCCACCATAGCGTCGCAGCAACGCTGGCGCTCAGAGGCGGGGAGGAGATGCTGCTGCCCGTCTGCTCCTCGCTCCAGAGAAAGCCAGAGCTGCCACTGGTGAAGCTGAACGCGGTTCCCGACGCTCCACGTTGACGGATCCCGCGCGAGCGAGTCGCTGATTACGCGCGAGCAGTCGGCAAGCAGCGCCTGGTGATAATGGTCTGCCGTCGCATACGCCCACACCGTGTTGGCCAGCCCCTGAGGGGTGAAGCCCGCCAGCCCGCCGCGCACCGCCGCCTCCGCCACCGCCGCAAAGAGCGCCTCTGCAGCCACGCCCGCCGTCGCGTACGCCCACACCGTGTTGGCCAGGTTCTGAGGGTTGAAGCCAGCCAGCCCGCCGCGCACCGCCGCCTCCGCCACCGCCGCGTACAGCGCCTCCGCAGCCACGCCCGCCGTCGCGAACGCCCACACCGTGTTGGCCAGGTTCTGAGGGGTGAAGCCAGCCAGCCCGCTCCGCACCGCCGCCTCCGCCACCGCCGCGTACAGCGCGTCCGCAGCCACGCCCGCCGTCGCATACGCCCACACCGTGCTGGACAGGGCCTGCGGCTCGAAGCCCGCCAGCCCGCCGCGCACCGCCGCCTCCGCCACCACCGCAAAGAACGCCTCTGCAGCCACGCCCGCCGTCGCGTACGCCCACACCGTGTTGGCTAGGTCCTGAGGGTTGAAGCCAGCCAGCCCGCCCCGCACCGCCGCCTCCGCCGCCGCCGCGTACAGCTCGTCCGCAGCCACGCCCGCCGTCGCATACGCCCACACCGTGTTGGCCAGCTCCTGAGGCTTGAAGCCCGCCAGCCCGCCGCGCACCGCCGCCTCCGCCGCCGCCGCGTACAGCTCGTCCGCAGCCACGCCCGCCGTCGCATACGCCCACACCGTGTTGGCCAGCCCCTGAGGGGTGAAGCCAGCCAGCCTGCTCCGCGCCGCCGCCTCCGCCACCGCCGCGTACAGCGCCTCCGCAGCCACGCCCGCCGTCGCATACGCCCACACCGTGTTAGCCAGGTCCTGCGGCTTGAAGCCAGCCAGCCCGCCGCGCACCGCTGCCTCCGCCACCGCCCCGTACAGCGCGTCTGCAGCTACGCCAGCCGTCGCATACGCCCACACCGTGTTGGACAGCTCCTGAGGGTTGAAGCCAGCCAGCCCGCTGCGCACCGCCGCCTCCGCCACCGCCGCATACAGCGCCTCCGCAGCCACGCCCGCCGTCGAATACGCCCACACCGTGTTGGCCAGGTTCTGAGGCGTAAAGCCAGCCAGCCCGCCGCGCACCGCCGCCTCCGCCACCGCCGCGTAGAGCGAGCGCACCTCACTCACTGGCAGCCGGCACTTGGCCGCACCGTGAGCGATATTTGCTAGTGCTCGCGCATTGCACGACGAGACGAGGTCGAGCGTGCGCTGCACCAGCCGCTCAAGCTGCTCCTCGTGCCGCCGCTCGACGCGCTGCTTGCCCAGTTTGTTCCACAGGTTTGCAGCGTGGATGTGGTTCAAGCTCGACGCGTGGGCAGCAAAGAGCGTGAGCAGTGCGTCAGCGCTGCCAGCATTCGAGATGTGGCTGCTGAGCTTCTTAGCGTTGAGCTGACCACCGGCAGCAGTGCGGCTAGACGAGGGTGGCTGATCGCGCTCATTGTAATAGTCGCGCTCGCGCTCGCTTCTGGACCGACGGTCATCGTAGCCGCTGGGGTGGTGGCACGGGTAGTCGGGCGGCTGGCCAGCCATGCCGGGGTGGCGGGGCGGAGGGATGTGGGGAGGGTAGCCCGGCGGCATGCCAGGCGACAGCCGCGGGCCGTACCCCATCCGCGGGTACCCGGGCGGAGGGCCGGAAGGCGGCATTGGCGCCCGCTGCGGCGGGCCGGGCGGCGGGCCGGGGGGAGGACGTGGCCCGTGGTAGCGGCCGTTGCTCGTCAAGCCATAGCCCGGCGGCATGCCAGGCCGCGCGTGTATTTTCAGCGCTCTTTGGTGCAGTACCCGGGTACGACTGCCGTGCTTCTAGACGCCGTCGGGACAGAATTTTACGACGGGACTTGCACGGCACTAACACAGGTACACCATTAGAGAGCAAACGACACTGGGCACGGGACTAGTGCGCGCTGACACTAACACCATTGTAAAATTCTTGCGGACTTCCTACAGAGAAGCTCAGAGAGAGGGCTACGAGAAAGCAATGCAGCGACCACCGCAGAGGAGAGCGTCGGAGAGCTCGCCCTCGCGCACACAGCGCGAGCGATATACGTAGCGTAGCTCGTGGGGGCTACGGCAGTGTTCTAGGTATATATATATAAGTGCGCCTGTTACTCTCAAACGTCGTTAGTAAAGAGACAGAGAGGTCGCGAGCTCTCTGCTCTCTGCAGACTCTCTCCCGACACGGCTGAGCGCATCCCCGCGCATGGCTCTCGGGAACTCGCGGCGCGGACCGCCAGCGGCCAAGAGCCCTCATGCTGCACCACCGACGGCGTTCTCACTCACGCCGGCGCATCACATCCTGGGAGCCCTCTCGCACAGCCTCTCTCTCACAGAGTCCCGAGCAGCCTCAGCGCACCACCGCGGGGTAGTGCTCCGGGTACTTGTCGAGGTGCGCGTTGAGGGCCGCCTCCTGGTCCCGCTGCAGCCACGACGGCTCGTCGTACACGTCGGAGAAGAGGTACGCGTTGTTCGGCTTTGGCGCGGCCGACGCGTCGTTTAGCGACTTGATCACCTGCTTGCGGGTCGCCTTGCGGAGGTCCTCCTCCATCTGGGGCGACCACCAGCCGAGGGACTGGAGGTACCGCCCGAACCGGATGATCGGCGAGCGCGCCTCCCAGTACGCGCGCTCCGAGTCCCACCCCTGCTCAGGCGCGTGCGGGTTGCGGTACGCCGAGTCGTCGTCCGACGTCGAGTGGGCGCCGATGCGGTACGTCATGGCCTCGACGAGGACCGGCCGCCGCTGCTCGATGGCGATGGCCCGCGCGCGCTGCGTCGCGGCGACCACGGCGAGCAGGTCGTTGCCGTCGATCCGGATCGTCGGCAGGCCGTATGCCGGCCCGCGCGGCGCGACACCGTCGCCGGCATACTGGTCGCTCGAGGAGGTGGAGATGGCGTAGCCGTTGTTGCGGCAGAAGAAGACGACGGGGCAGCCGTGGACGGCGGCGATGTTCAGGCCGGAGGGGAAGTCGCCCTCCGACGACGTCCCCTCGCCGAGGTAGCAGATCGCGACCCGCTCGCCGCCGCCCTGCTTGAGGCTGTACGCGACGCCAGCCGCGTGCGGGCACTGCGTGCCGAGCGTGGACTTGACGTAGATGATGTTGCGCTCGGCGCTGCCGGTGTGGAGCGGCAGCTGCCGGCCGTGCGCGCGGTCGAGCGCGTTGGCGCAGAGCTGGTTCGCGATCTCCGCCATCGTCATGCCCCGCCAGAAGAAGACGCCGAGCTCGCGGTACTGAGGCAGCACCATGTCGCTCGGCTGCAGCGCCGCGGCGGAGCCCACGCTCGCCGCCTCCTCGCCGCGGGAGGTCATGTAGAAGGAGATGCGCCCCTGCCGCTGCGCGTCGTTGTAGATCTTGTCGAACTCGGACACGTGCACCATCGTGGTCATCATCGCGAGCGCCTCCTCTCTGCTGAGCGAGGGAACGTGCTGCTCGGCGCCCTCGACGACGCAGCCGAGGTCGTCCATCACGCGGAAGCACGGCATCGGGAGCGGCGGGCTCTCCACCTGCGGGTCCCAGAAGTGGAGGGCCGGCGTGTATGCGCTCTGCGCGCCCGCAAAGTGGCTCGTCTCCTGGCGGAGCTGCTCGTTCTCCCGCCGCAGAGCCATGTTCTCCTCGTGCAGCTGGTCGAGGGCGCTGACGGTGCTATTGCCGCGCCGCGCAGCACCCGCACGACGAGCGGCGATGGCAGCCAGCCTCCTCGATCTCAGCATGATGGAGTGGAAGGGTTGGCCGGAAGGGTTGGCCGCGTTCCCCAAGCTCCTTTACAACGCTCTGTTTTTTTTTCGTTTAAGTGGCTCTCGTTTTCGTTCGGCGGAGGACTGCTGACAGGGTTTTTTGAAGCGAGAAAGGGCGGCGCATTCGGCGGCGTACACTCGAGTACACGCTATCGGTTTTCCGGCAGTTCAGCCCGTAGTGTCCTGCTCCACAATACCCGGCGCAAATCTCTCCTCAATCAAGTGAAAAACAAATATAGAGTTGTTAGGGCTCCAGGCCCCAAATGACGTGTGAGTGTTAGAGTTGTTTGGTATTGCTAAAAATTTCACGCGCGCGCGAGACGTGCAGACAGGGTTGCCAGGTGAGAGCGAATGGCGCGGTTCACGCCTCGGCCCTCGCACAACAGAGAGAGAGATGCGCTCTGCATGGTGGGACATAAAAGAGAGCGAGTACTTGGGCGTTTGAGGTTTGTTTGTTGAGCTGTTTGGTATTGCTAAAAAACAATACAAACAAACACATAAAAACAATCAAGTGATCTTCACGTTTCTAAACACTCCTGGGCTGTCTGTTTTCTTTCTTTCTTTAACACATAACATTTTTCAGGCCTCGGGCGTTAAGCTTAAGGCGATCTCTTAAGGCGAACAAACTTAACTCTTAAGAGAGAGAGATTTTTAGCAATACCAAAGTTCAAACACAAATCTCAAATCTCTCTCTCTCTCTCCCAACGAGTTTTGTTGTTAAGGCGTGGAAGAGGGCATAATAATGTTGAAAAAAGAAGGGAGAAGCGGGGGGCCCGAGAGCGATAGATATGCCGTGTCCGCGGTGTTTCATCCATCGAAAGCAAAAACAAAAACAATGGGTTTCGAAGGCTAAAAGAATTCTACAAATACAAGCCCCTCTCACAGCAGACTGGCACGAACTAGCACCACAAAAGGCACAGCAGACAATGGGCTAAAAGAAAAGGCAGGTTGAGACCTAAAATGCGCGTCTCCCTGTCGAGGCTGTCTGCGGCCATCCAGGTTCCCGACCACCTGAAGCTCGTCAGCCAGCAGCTCACTCTCCCGATGGCGTCGGGCCGCTGCATGATCATCGGGCAGCCGAGCTTCAAGTACCCGATCGCTGTGATCCCGCCGCCACCCGAGGTGGCGCCGCTGCTGGCTGCCATCCGCTCGTGCGACGTCCGCCCCTTCCGCATCATCTCCTACGTCGAGGAGTCTGGCCGCGCCTTCAACTGTGCGCCGCCGTAGACGCCGCTCTCGCCAGCCTCGCGTGCCAGTCTCGGGTGGGCGTGCGCCGAGCCCGCGCCCGCGCCCGACGCGACGCGCCCGCGCCACCAGGCTCATTCTTCAACGACGAGGCGCACATGCGCGGCTGGATCGAGTGGCTGTCCGACAACGCCCTCACTGCCGGCAGCCAATTCCACGAATGCGTGCGCAGCGCGATGCCCGAGGACGAGCCGCTGCCGACCGCGGAGACGCTGCTTTTTGGCCGCGGCACGGACGTGCTCACCGACACGCGCTTCGGCGAGTACCAGGTCGGGATGTCCATCTCCTTCTCGCGGCAGGTGCCTCTCGGGCCGGATGAGTATGCCGAGATGTGCGAGGTAGCGGCGTCGAGAGAGTTCGAGCTCCGCATCGCGCGGTGCATGGAGGAGAGAAATGTCGACTACTTTGGCCGGCTCGCCATGCTCGAGGACCCACGGGCGGCCGCGGAGAGAGGCTCCCCCCCCGCCCTCATCACGGCGCTGCGCTACGGCTCGATTGACGACGCGAGGCGCGGCACGGCAGTGGTGCGTGAGCGCATGGGCGTCGAGCTCGGGCGCTGGTTCGGCGGCGGGCACACCTCGCTACTGGGCACGGCGACGCAGGTCCTCGAGCTCTGACCGACGCCGCCGCCGCGTGCCCCTCTCTCCGGCCCCTTTCCAACGCGATGGATTTTGACGACGTGAGAGCGCTGCCCGCCGGCGAGCGGCGGTGTCAGTGGAGCTGTGGGTGTGGCCGGTGCACGGTAGTCGGTAGGCGAGGGGTAGTACCCGTGGGTAGCGCGTAGCGCGGTGAGGTGACGTCGGGCTTGATGTGATGCGTTGCGCTCGATATCTGATTTTCAAGCGTGATCAAAGCAAAGAAAATGAAACGCCGCAGTTTCCTCTCGTCCCTAGGCCGCTCTCTTTTTCCGCGCCGTCCCAGATGGCTCAGCCACCTGCCGGGAGGGCGCTTCATCTCTTGAGAGGCCAAATGGTCTGCGGAGGGCGCGCGCCTAAGCGTTGAGCTTCTCGTGAAGGTACTCATCGATGTACTCGGTCTTCCAGCCGCCCACACTAAGCTCGTCTACGGTCCGGCCGTCGGCGTCCTGCATGTAGAGCGTGGGCGGTGCGCCCTGGGTGTACGTCACGGATAGGTTGGGAAACTTACCCGCGCGCTCCTCGATGAACTCGGAGAGCGCTGGGTAATGCCCCAGCCGTCATTTACACACGTCGAGCACCGCCTTGGCAAAGTGCGACGCCCGCTGCGCCTCGTCCGTGCAACAGCCCGCGCATTCCTCGACCAACGTGCTGTCCTTGCCCACATGCTCGCCGAGCTTTGTGCACGATGTGCAAAGCAGCGAGGGGCCGAAGCCGAGAGATCGGCAGCGCTCGGAGCCGGGACCGTCCGTCGACGCGGCGGCCGACGAGAGCACCAGCCAAATCGGTGCGCCCACGGCCATCCTGGCGCGCCGGGCTGAGCTGGCCTGCAAAAGTAGATATTTTTTTCTCGCACGCACTGCGTCCCCCCCCGGGGCAGTGCTGTGTGCTGGTCCCCGCGGGAAGCCCCGCGCATAGGACAACAACGTCTGTCCCACACACGCACAGACGCGCACATACATCATGCTCGGGCACCCCCCACAGTGTAGTCGTGGTGTGAGCACACAACTCTTAAAAAATCTCTCTCTCACAAGTACTAGCAGAGTGCACACCTGCCTTGGCGGGTGAGGGTCGTAAGAAAAAATAAAATATTCTTAGCTTCAAGCCCCCCTCCGAGACTGGAGACAGAACCCACCCGTACACAGGAGAGATGGGACTGCCCCCCGCCCCCACTTGCCCTGACTACACAGGATAGCGTGCCCCGAAGACGGCGACACATAGTGGGGGACACTGCGCAAGGAGGGGGTGCGAAAGCTCATTGGGGTGCTAGGTGGGACCATGAGGGGGGGTGGGCGGGGTCCTGTGGGGGTGAAATGTTGCGCGGCGAATTCGAGCCTACCCCCTCGCCGCGCCGATCCTCACGCGGAGGGTAAAACCCTGTGGGACAAAACCCCTCCGCGGTCGGCTGTCTTCAGAGTGGACCCCCCCCTCCCCAGCCTCCCCTGTGCATCTCGCACCCCCCCCCGCTCCCCATCGGTGACTCGCGAAGGACACGGACACTCGGGGTGAGGGGGGGTCCCCCCGGAGGGGGCTCTGGGGGACTGTTGGGTTGATCGCTCGTGCCGATCTCGGGTCGATCTCGGGTCGATCTCGGGTCGATCTCGGGTCGATCTCGGGTCGATCTCGGGTCAATCTCGGGTCGATCTCGGGTCGATCTCGGGTCGATCTCGGGTCTCGGGTCGGTCTTGGGTGTCGGTCTCGGAGTGGTCTAGAAAAGAAAAAAATGTCGGGCGAGATGAGGCGA